TGGGGGGAAGGGGGGGGGGGGGGGGGGTTGGAGGTGGGGAATAGATAAGCAATTCTTGTGTGGTGAACATACACAGCATCATAAAACACAAAATGAAACCTCAGAATTAACTACAGAACTGACTCCGGTAGGAAAGACCTCTGCTGCAGGACGGGTCTATTCAGGGGAAGCGAGCAGGGATCAGAGCGCAAAGCTGAGCCTGGAGCCTGAGCACTCGCGGTGGCCTGGAGAGGTTGCCCGGGCTGTCGCTGTCCCAGGCCCCACCATCCATCCCGACCGGATACTAGGACTTGGAGTTACATGTTCCCGAGCGCCAGAGGGTGGGTGAGTGGGGTCTCGCGGGACGTAAAAGAGCCCCCGCCTGCTGGGGACGGGGTGGGGGGGGTCAATGGCCCTCGAATCGGTGGCCGACACTTCCAGAGGCGCGACGGCTGGCTCGGCGAGCCACACTCCACACGCGTCGGAGCGTCGGCGCCAACGCTGCGTCCCTTAGGTCCCGGGGTAAAGCCGTTTCGTTAAAGCGCGCGCAGAGCCAGGGATGGAGTTTCTCAGTCGTTGCACGAAGAACCGTCCCCTGTTCCCCGAGGTTCCTCCATTAACAACACAACCCCCCCCCTTGCGGACCCCAGCGCCCACCAAACCGCTAACCCATTTCAAAATGGAGCGAAATCACAGACGCGGGGACTGCGCTTTGTTCCCGGCATTGGGCTAAATGCGCCCGCCCCCGCCCGGCTCCCATTCCCCCAGGTGACATCTCCGCCCGGGAGGCTCCCCGTTTTCAGGGCCGCCACTCGCCCCTCGCTCCATCTGGCACGGGAATCCTGCGCCCAGTTCTGTCTCGGGGCCAGGGCGGGAGAAGATGCAAAAATCGACCCTTGAGCCGCTCCTGAACCCACCCGAGGCTGGAGCTGCCGTGCGGGGAGGCCTCGCAACGCCCTCGTTCCAGCCCCCGACGCCACAGCCAGGGAGGGGCGGCCTGACCCCAGGCGGGCTCTCAACCCGGAGCCGAACTGTTCCTCGGAAATTCATATCAACCTGGGCAGCCTGCGTGGACGATTCAGCAGCAAAGATGCCCCCTCTCCGAACTGCGCCTCCGCACCAGTTTTCAGCGACAGAATTAACCAGAAAGACGCGCGGATCCGGCTCATCGCAGGAGGGCGAGCCTCGGGCTTGCTCGCCTTAAGTTCCCTCCCTGCGCCTCGTTTTCAAGGGCGGAGGTGAACTTAGACTCTTAAGTGAAAATCCCGCACTTTAGATACATATTAATCAAATAATATTAACCAGCACGGCCTCAATAAAAAATATATATATTACTGACGCCTATCTGGGCCGCGGGGCCAGGTAGGGACTTCTACCCTGCAGCCGCCAGGGCCAACTGGAGCCGCAGGCTCAGGGGTGGGGGGCTCCCTCCCGCGCCCTCCAGGAGGCCGACCGGACGCGACCCCGTCTACCCCAGGGTCCTCAATCTCCAGAGGGAAGAGGCGGGGCAACGCCCCAAGTTCTCTTTTCCGGACGCGCCAAATTCCCATGGCAACCCCCTACTCCGTGGCCCCCTCCCGGTGGCTCAGAAAGATGGGTGTGGCCGCAGCACCCGAGGGGACCTCATGCCGCCTCCTCATATGCTCCCGCCGAGTGAAGCAACAGGGCGTAAAGCGGAGAGGTGCCTCACCTGTGAGCTCTCCCCTTATCCTCGGGGGGTGGTCAGAGCCCCTTGCTAGGCAGCCTGGTGGGGTGTGGGCTCCCCCGGACGCTTGGGTGCAGGGAGGGGCATGGTCCTGCTGCTGCCACCCGCAAGGCGCGCGGAGACCTAGAATCCCACCCCTTCTGCCCACGGACGCTTCCTGGCGCGCGGCCGGACCCCGGGAGGGGGCTGCGCGGGGTCACGCCCATTCCATCCATGCCCCGGGGGCTGTGACTCGTTTTCATCGACCCCAGCAAGCCCCGAGATCCAACAAAGGGCTTGGAAATGAGGAGCGAAAAAAGGGGAGCGGGGGGGGGGCGGGGAGGCTTGGCTAAACACCCTCATAGAATAAAAGCCAAAAAAACGGCTGGGAGCACAGGCCACGTAACCTCTACAAACAAAGCAGCGAGCCCCTTTAGAAGATTCCGGGTGAACGCCCCCAGTGCTCACACCCGCAGCAGCAAAATGCCAAGATTTCAGCGCTAATTGCCCCCCCCCGCCTTAATGCCAGTCCCCGCCCTGTCCTCCAAAGCCTAGCCACCCGGCTTGGCATGGTGCTGTAAAGACGTGACACGCGCAAAAAGATGGCACCTCACGTTCGGAGGGGGAAAAGTCGGGGGTGGGAGTGGGAGGAGGCATAGCCTACCCTCCCCCTTCTCGTTCACGCGGGTCCACACCCACTGCCGCAGTGAGGGGCGAGCCCTGCGCGCCAGCCCCGCGCCTCCGGCAGGGAGCGCACATGCCGGGCGCTGGGCGCCGGGCGCAGAGCGCAGAGAAAGGAACCCGCCCCGAAATGCACCTGCAGCCCCCGCGCGTGTCTGTGCAGGGCTGCGGCTGTGCGCGCCCGCGAGCGGGGATCGGCCGCCGCCGAGTCGGTCCACATCGGAAGGCCGGGTGACCCACGTCTTTCGGAGCTTCCACATTGGGGTCCGCGCACTACCTTCCCTCGAGCATGGCGCTGCTCGCGTCTCTGTGCCAGGCGCGCGCAGGGGGAAGGGCAGCTAAAGTGACAGCGCCTGGACCCCTCCCCATCTCCCCTATTCCTCCCAGCCCCCAAATGTCCCCTGCGGGTTTCTGAAGGAGAAAAAGAGGAGGGGGCGGGCCACAGCCTTAAATCAAGAGGCAGTAAAGGCCCCGTCTGGATCGCCGCTGGGGAGATGTAAGGAGGGGCATGCAGGGAGTCATCTTTTTCTAGAACCCAATCCATATCTTCCCGAGGGGCAGAGAAGTCGGATTTCAGGTTCGTTTCGGGGGTCGTCATTGGACACCTCCCCAACACACACAGACACACGCCCACTGCGGCAAAAGGCTGCGATCGAGAGTGCTGAGCAGCCCCTTCCCCCAGGTCACCGCCATCTGCGCCCCACCCTGCGGGCTGAGCCTCCACCCGGGGTCCGCGCCAAGCGGGTCGTGCGGACCCTAAGCACACACATACAAACACACGCACTCACACGTGTGTGTGCATTTCTTGCACTCGTCCCTTTCCAAGCCACCACCTTAGCCCCAGCCCCCGAGCGCAGAGGGCTGAGGGAGGGGCCCCCGCCGCTGCCCCTGACCGATGCCCAGCGCATGAAACCCATCTCTGCGGCGGGGGGCCGAGGGGCGGCGGCGTGGGGATGCAGAGGGGCTGAGGGGAGGCAGATTTTCGAGCCTCGGCGCTTACCTGATAGTTGACAGAGGGCGAGGAAGGGAGAGGACAGCGGAGGAGGAGAAGGTGGCTGTGGCGGCGGCGGCAGAAGGTGGGCGGTGGCGGCGGCGATGCTGCTGGTGCCGGAGCTGGTGGGTGGCGGTGACTGCGAACGCGCGCTCCGGCGACAGAGCGCGTCCCCGAGGCCGGCGGGAGGCGCAGGCGCGAGCAGCGGGCGCGCGAGCCTCCCCAGGGGAGGAGCGGGCGGGAGGCCTCCGTGGGCACCTTCTCTTCCGACCACCAGGGGGCGCGCACGAGCGCCCACCACTCGGCCCTCCCGCGCCTCCTGACTCGCTCTTCTCCGCTCTTCCTTTCCTTGGCGCTCCTCCCCTCACGCTTCGGGCCGTCACGCCGACCGCCGTGCGCACGCGCCCTCCGTGGCGCACGCGCACTCTCGGCCTCTGGCTGCTGGAGCCTTTGTCTTGTTGAAGGGGTCTCTTCCCTCAGGCCAGGCGGGGTCGGGCCGGGCGGGCTACTCTGTGCGTTTCCTTTACGTCAGATAGGGCGGTGTCCTACCGTAGAAAGGTCCTGGACTGGTTTCTGCGTGGCCGACTCCCCCGTCCGTCCACCCCGGACCTCAAGCCCCCACCGCCCCCAAGGCGCCCCGACCCTCCTTAGTCTCCCGAAATGGTCCCTTGGTTGGAGGTCATTTTCCCTGGGGCCGCTTCTTTCTCCTTGCTTTCTTTCCACCTTTTTTGTTATTGACCAACGTGAATTCTTTTCTTAACAAATCTTAAAACAGGCTAACTCAGTTGTACAGTAGTAGTTAGTTAGTTATTTTTTTTTTTTAGGAAGGAGAATTCGAATCTATTATGTAACCCTAGAAAAAAATCCTTAAATTAGACGAAGTTCAGATGGTGCTTATCACATGTAGTGGATTGAATTATGTCCCCCAAAACTCATTGAAGCTTGAATTATATCCCCCACGTTTTGTGTATCAGAAACTTGGCCCCCACTGTGAACGTTAAGAGGGTGGGAAATCCTATTATGGTAATTGAGAGGTGGAGCCTTGAAGAGGTGATTGGATTGTAGGACCCTATAGTAGTGAATGGATTAAAAATGGTGGTCAGAGATGTCCTTCTGAGGGCTTTAAAAGAAGAGGGAAGTCTGTCTTTCTGCTCTCTCTGCCTCCACCATCTTGCAGTGTTGAGACCCCTGGTTCACTGTTGATACCACCAGATGGACTTTGGACTTCCCAGCCTCAGAAACTGTAAGCAATAAGTTTCATTTTCTTTATAAATCACCCAGTTTCAGGTATTTTGTTATAGCAACACAAAACGGACTAATACATCACATTACAGACCAATTTTTACAAATACAGATTTTTTATCTTATTTGTTGAAACACCTTTATACTATAAGTAGAGCTTGAGATCAGAATGTTTAAGTGCCAGCTGGAGATTGTCACCTGGATGACACACCTCAGACTGAACTGACCAGTGGTGCTTATTCTCCCAGACACCCAGGCCCAGGCTTTGGCTTTAGCTTGGTTTCCTCATCTCCCCAACATCTAATTTAAGCCTTGGCAATGGGAGGCTTTCTATGCATGGGGGATTAGGGAGATGGGAACTTGTCTTGAAGCTTTACTTTACATAACTCTTTTAGCCTTTTTTTTTTTTAAACCAATGTTGTGTGTTATAGATTAATATAAAAAACAAGTAGTTTAAAATGCTTTATTCACGTGGGTTTAATTACTATGTTATTATTAGGAGCCTTGGGTGGATAATGGAGAAGGGGGCTAATTTCTTAAACCACTTAAGTTTCTAAGTTTCTGGAATTGACCTTTTGGTGTTGTTGTTCTAACAGCCACCATCCAAGTTCAAGACCCCTACCTTGGTTCTGGACATGGAGGGACCTTACTGGTCTCCCTGCTCTAAATTTCTCCTTATATCAGCCCCCCCTGCACCCCCTAGTCAGATCAGTCTTCAGAAGTGATCATTTCAGTCATGGCAATCTCTTGCTCAAAAATATCTGAAAGCTTCTAGCCACTTCCTAAGTGAATTTAAACTCCTTAGCCCAGCATTCAAGACCCCCATGATCTGAGCCCCTGTCCTCTCCAGTTTAATCTCTAACCTACTCTGTGGCCAACGGAGGTTGTTTGATGGAACTCTTCCCCGTCTTTGTACTCTGGGGTTTTCCTTTACCTACAAAGTCCTTGCTCTTTCATCCACCAATATCCTACCTAACCTTCAAACCCTAAATCAGATTTTACCAGAGTCTTCCCTAATCACCCCAGCTGGAAGAGATAGTTCCACCTGTAGAAGGAGCTTAGCAAAGTCACTCATTTTTTTCTCTAAAAGTGGGGAGGGGAGTGAAATTAGTATCTGTTAATTCTATTAATCCAGTCTATAGGATTGAAATTTTATTGTCCGCAGTAGTTATCTTTCCCCATTTCTGTATGAGGATTATACATCCTTGCCCATGGAAAAAAAACCTGAACTTGTCTATCATGAGATTCTGACATATGTGACTACACAGATAGACCATGATGTAGGAGTGGGTGGGGTGGGATGGATAACTAGGAGAAAAAGATAAAAGCCAAATTTCCAATTAAGTTCCTGAGAGAGAAGGCACCACTGTATACCTTTGTATCAAATATATACACCATGGAACCCTTTGGTGGTCTGATAATGGCCTTCTCAGAAGGATATTTTTAAATGCGTAAAATAAAATATGTAAGATTACAAAGAAAACCTTTTACATACAGTTATCAAAGTATTTAAATATCTGTGCTATAGTATGTGATGGACGTGGAAGTGTGCTGCCCAGAGCCTCCTTCAGGAAGGACTTGTTCCAGCCACTGGGAGTGCTGTCGTCAGACAGGCTTCAGCTGTCAGCGCCTTCAGGGACTCCCTGGCCTGCAAGAGTCACCTCTCTCCAGGGAGGCCCATGTCAAGTGACTGATTGAGGTGGGGGTTTAAAGGCCCAGTCATCCTGGCCCCACACTGGACAAGTCTGGTGAGCACTTTTACTCTAGATCTCACCATGGGGCTGGCAAGGCTGCTGCTGGGCTGAGCCACAGCTTACCTTCTCCCTCTGCTCAGACCTGCTTCCTTCCCCAGCATGTTCTTTTTTTTTTTTCCTTTTCCTTTTTGTCTTTTGTTCATGTCCGGCAACGGATCGCAACCCTCAGTGTTGTGCCCGTACTGGACCGGGACCGGCAACGGGATCGCAACCCTCGGTGCTGCACCCGCACCTCGCTCAGCCAGTGAGCGGAACCGGTCTGTATGTGGGATCCGAACCCTCGGCGGGAGCGTCACCGCGCTCTCAAGTGGCACACTGTAGCAGTGCGCCACCGGGCCGGCCTCCCGGCATGTTCTAATACACACTCTGTATCCTAAACTCTCTACTTCTTCTGGAACTCAACCCAGGACATTTGGTGTCAGGAGTGGTCCAAGAAAGCAGGTGATAAGGTGGGGTTTTAGAGCTGTCAGCTATGGTAGGTGGGGCCCAGATAGACTCTAGCACAAGGTGGCAGTCCGGTTGCTAAGATGGTAAATTGGGATGGTATGCTGGTGGAAGAGTATGCACTAGCCAGTTTTTATATCAGGTGTTTGGGGAAGAGAAGGAGAATAATAGCTGAAGACAATGTAATTGGGTGACTCCTGCTAAGTTCATTTGAGTAACTATGCTCCAAAGATGGTTAAGCTGCCCACCAAGGTAGGCCTGCTCTGACAGTCAGAACCCTTGTTGGGGAAGAATAGGATTCTGAGATATGAAATGGGGACATTTTAGTTGATGCTGCTGAAAATCTTGGATTCCCAGATTGCCTTGAATGCTCTGAGCCTGCAGAAGTGTCCTGCCCACCCCTACTTGAAGAATGCAAAGGCCTTTTTCCACAGTCAACATGAACCTCTTTCGGGATGTCCCCCAACTTCCTTCCTGGCCACTGGATGTAAACTAGGCTTAAGTCACAGTGTAATTTAGTCAGGGACATGATAGGCCTAATAAGGAAGTAAAGGGCCTGTACCCCAAAGGAGCTGTAAGACCTAACCAGCATGAACCAGTAAGAACCTGGAGAGGACACATGGGACTGGATTCTGAGGGTGCTTGATCAAGGGGGCCAGAACACGAGAATGGATAAGGGAGACTATGTTGATTTGGGAGCATTCTCTCCCATGGTAAAGAAATTAACATCTTGGCAGAGACTCCCAGAGGTGGTATGAACTCGCTCCTAGATGCATGAGAAAAACAAAGGCCCACACTAAGTGGGGTGGAGATGTCAGAATTTCCCTGG